AATTTATATTATCAGGAGAATATATTTTGCGAGGAGGTCGATTATACCGAGGAGGGCGTGGCGTGGAGGTGATGCCCCTCTGCGCCACAACTAGAGCAGAAGCCGCCATACAGGCGGAGTGGGTGGCCCCGCCCCCTCGGGGGGGTTCGCCCACGAGGTTAGGTCGTGTGGGTGGGGGGAGGACGTCCGGTTGACATCGCTACGGCGCACCCGGTCCTCCCCCCAAACACCCGAGTAGGCATCCGGTGGAGTTTTAGTGGGTATACTGGTCCTTCAGACCAGGAATCCCACATAACCCGTCCTCCCGCCCCGGGGTGTGCGGGTATCCATAAAGGATTTCTCCACCGTTATCAAAAAAAAAAAAAAAAAAAAAAAGGAGGTCGATGATGCCTTGATGACTTCTTTACAAATCATGTTCTCCTAATAATGCAAACGTGAAATTTTTCGAAAATTCGTTTCTTATAATTTTTATTATCAGGAGAATATATTTTGCGAGGAAGTCGATGATGCGTTGATGACCTCTTTACAAATCATGTTCTCCTAATAACGCAAGCGTGAAAACTTTCGAAAATTCGTTTCTTATTATTTTATATTATCAGGAGAATATATTTTGCGAGGAGGTCGGTGATGCGTTGATGACCTCTTTACAAATCATGTTCTCCTAATAACGCAAGCGTGAAAATTTTCGAAAATTCGTTTCTTATTATTTTATATTATCAGGAGAATATATTTTGCGAGGAGGTCGATGATGCGTTGATGACCTCTTTGCAAATCATGTTCTCCTAATAACGCAAGCGCGAAAATTTTCGAAAATTCGTTTCTTATAGTTTATATTATCAGGAGAATATATTGTGCGAGGAGGTCGATGATGCGTTGATGACCTCTTTACAAATCATGTTCTCCTAATAACGCAAGCGTGAAAATTTTCGAAAATTCGTTTCTTATTATTTTATATTATCAGGAGAATATATTTCGCGAGGAGGTCGATGATGCGTTGATGACCTCTTTACAAATCATGTTCTCCTAATAACGCAAGCGTGAAAATTTTCGAAAATTCGTTTCTTATTACTTTATATTATCAGGAGAATATATTTTGCGAGGAGGTTGATAATGCGTTGATGACCTCTTTACAAATCATGTTCTCCTAATAACGCAAGCGTGAAAATTTTCGAAAATTCGTTTCTTATTATTTTATATTATCAGGAGAATATATTTTGCGAGGAGGTCGATGATGCGTTGATAACCCCTTTACAAATTATGTTCTCCTAATAACGCAAGCGTGAAAATTTTCCAAAATTCGTTTCTTATTATTTTATATTATCAGGAGAATATATTTTGCGAGGAGGTCGAAGATGCGTTGATGATCTCTTTACAAATCATGTTCTTCTAATAACGCAAGCGTGAAAGTTTTCGAAAATTCGTTTCTTATTATTTTATATTATCAGGAGAATATATTTTGCGAGGAGGTCGAAGATGCGTTGATGACCTCTTTACAAATCATGTTCTCCTAATAACGCAAGCGTGAAAATTTTCGAAAATTTGTTTCTTATTATTTTATATTATCAGGAGAATATATTTTGCGCGGAGGTCGATGATGCGTTGATGACCTCTTTACAAATCATGTTCTCCTAATAACGCAAGCGTGAAAATTTTCGAAAATTCGATTCTTATTATTTTATATTATCAGGAGAATATATTTTGCGAGGAGGTCGATCATGCGTTGATGACCTCTTTACAAATCATGTTCTCCTAATAACGCAAGCGCGAAAATTTTCGAAAATTCGTTTCTTATTATTTTATATTATCAGGAGAATATATTTTGCGAGGAGGTCGATAATGCGTTGATGACCTCTTTACAAATCATGTTCTCCTAATAACGCATTTAAAAAAAAAAAAAAAAATTTCGCGAACAATTAATGTTCGAAATAATTTACGCATTGCCATCCGCGCTTTGTGGGCTCTTAATGCTCTTTACTTAATTATCATGTTGATAAATACATAGAGCCGTATTATTTACCAATTTATTTTGAAAAATGTTTATTTCATCTTTGAATATTACAGTATCTGTCGCGATTGAATAATTTATTTATTATCAATTTACACACATAAGTATTTAATTGTTATATAGCACTGGTGCTACCGGCATTTCGTGCACATAGCACGGAAAACCAGAAATTGTGCAATTATATATTACCCTCTGAGATCATTCATGGACTTTGACTTTGTAGTTCATGTCCATGTTTTGAATGTCCATAGAGGGAGTATCACTTTTGGGGTCACCTAAAAGCAAGCCGTGACATCTCTCAGTCTTCTCTCTGGACCGCATGAGAAAACTCCTTCTGTTGCTCAGAAAAAGAAGAAAATATCAAAAATGCCAGGTTGTTGCGTGGAGAAATGCAACAATCGCAGCCTATATCTATACTATCGGACGCCATTTTTGCTCCAGCTCATCTTATTGAGATCAAAATTGCGGTACTTTGTTAATCTAGTGACTTTACCATGAACAAATAAAATACATAGATGGAGGATTGGTTGTTCGCATTTCCTCGGTTTGTTCTTTTCAGCTGAACTGTTTGCACTTTTCGTTTTTTTTCTCTTTCTTTCACAAATTTCTGAATATATGTGTCTCATTTCATTTCGTTGCACGTAGATTAACTGAAAAGAACAAATCTGTCGATTGATTTTGGGAGAACCATTTATATCTTTTCGAAAACACGCGCCTATCAATCTTCATTGTTTATTTCGCGATCCAAGCTATATTTTTTTATCTCTCCACGGAAATCAAAAGCTTCTCTCAAAAGCAAAAAGAGATCGAGGAATTCTTAAGAAACAAGGTTAGTCGTTGAAATTCTCTTTTTTATATTAATATTGCAAAAATCCGGATTTACATTCCCTTTTACGCAAACCCTTATTTAAATCTCGTAATCACAATTTTGCATTTTAAATCTGTTTCGTAGTGCAAAAAATTACAATTATGATTATTGTGCATTATATCATTTGCATTGTATTGTATTATATAACAATTATAATATGTATATAATATTACAATATTACATAATTACAATATAATTACATTACATTGTATTATACATATATATTTTCTAATATGACATAACTATAATATTACAAGTTTATATAAATATAACTATAATTATACAAGTTTGTATAAATTGGCGCGCGCATGCGCGCAGCGCAGCCGAGTAAAATTGTCAAACAATACTGTCGTCAATCGTCATTGGAGGTTCTTCGATCGCGTGAAAACGCGCGAGTGCAATTATTTATGAAATTCATTATTTTTCTAAATTTCACAAATTTTTCAATCGTCGAGGATGACAATTAATTGACACCAGATGTGTGTTGATGCAGGATGCGCATGCATCGGAAAGTTTTTTATCTTTATACGCAAATATATTGACTAAATAATCGCGTTATCGCTCTTATCAATTTGATATAAGTACGTCGCATTTTACGCAATAGAATATCTTTTTTATAAATCTTTTTCTCCTTCTAACGTTTTACGTGCGTTTTTGGAATAAAAATGTTGCCGGTGATAAAGTCCGAGATAGATATGCGTAAAATAAAAGCTCCGAAGAGCATCATCGTGGATTGCGACGCCGGTTTAGACGACGCTTTAGCTCTGATTATTCTCTTAGCTGGTCACGCCGCTCGTGAAATCGAAATTAAAGCCGTAACATGCGTTAATGGTAACACTAACGTAGACAACGTGGTGAAAAATGTGTTCAGAACGCTGGACGTTTGTGGCTGCCAAGAGGTAAGTTTAAAAACAAATTATCTAACATAGTCAATATGGGACGGGAGTAATGAATTATTGTAATGCTTGATTTATCGATGGAAATATCATATATTTTAATCTTTTTTTGCTGTATGTTTTAACCATTTCTAATTTTAAATCGATTAATCAAGAGTAAATATATGAAATTTCTATAAAAGTCTATAAAAAAATATTTTAAATATATTCAATATATTTAATGTTAGACATATCAATTGTGCAAAGCTTTATTAAACATTAAAAATGTTATATTTAACATTATTTTTATAGATACCAGTTTATCGAGGTGCATACTCATCTTTATTGAATACTCCAAATGCTAAGGAGACAGCTTCCGAGGAATATCATGGATCTGATGGATTTGGAGATGTTTATAATGATCAACCAGATATAAGTAGATTGCAAAAGGAACATGCCGTATGTGCTCTGCATAGAATTACATCAGAGGATCCCGGTAATATATCTTACAATCATATTCACAGAATATCGCAAACTGGATGCATTTTATTTATCAAATCCATCTTTCAATCAAGGTAATGTCTCTCTGATTTGCTTGGGTCCTTTGACGAATATAGCAATGGCTATAAAAATGTATCCAGAATTTATGAGTAATGCAAAGGAGTTTTTTGTGATGGGTGGAAATTCAACTGGTAACTTTAATAATTTTATTTGTTTTATTAAGTATAATGGAATAATATTCTTGCAAGTCATGTTTGAAACATGTTCCAAGGGCAGGGTAACATAACTTCGCAAGCAGAATTTAATTTCTACGCAGATCCGGAGAGCGCACACATTGTACTCAACAATAATACCAAGCCACTATGGTTGTTACCATGGGAAACCTGTTTAAAGTCCCAAGTCACACATGTACGTACAATTTTATTTATAATTACTGTCAGTTATCAAAGAATTGACTATATTATCGACAATTATTACATATTATTGTTATCATATTATTAATAATAATAAAACAGAATTATAACAATATTGTAATATTAATTATACCTAGTCATGATTATTTGTTCAGATTGTATCAATGCAGAACAATAGTACTGGAAATAATCTTTCAGGACTGGCGAAAGGATGTATTGGGCAAGATATCTGTACCTTGTGTGCTTATGTTGAACAAAATCGAAGATGGTAGACGCGCTCGAGTGAAGAAGCATTTCGTTCGTTACATAGTATGCGATGCTTTCTTAGCTGGAATCGTTAGACTACCTAATATGGCCAAGGGAGTCGTTTCATGGCACGCGGATGTCGAGTTAAGCGGTCACAAAACTCGAGGCCAAGTCGTCCTTGATCATTTGCTATCAAATAAACCAAATGTAAATCTAATAAACGATTTTGACTCAGAGATGTTTAAGGAGGTGTTGGTGAACGCGGTGTATTCAATAAAGGGTGATTATTATTTCTTGCGTTCAAAAATGTCGATATTAGCAACTATATGTATAAGACAGACTATATACATATATAAGAATAAGAAGAAATAAGAATATATAAGAAGGCAACTATATATATAAGAATAAATATTATAGTCTAATTTTTTAATTTAGAGTTATACAATTATATAGAAATAATTTTTCTATATAAAACTTTTAATATTTTCATATTTAAATATCTTTTTTATGAATTTACAGAAAATAGATGTGCTAAAGTGATAGAGTGATTATACTAATACATGGAACGAAAATCAACGAAGAAGAACATCTTATTGACAAGAGAGTAGAGAATTTATTTTTAAGATCATTATCGAAGAAATAATGGATTTAATGGCTTTTGTGCCTTATTCTATGACAGCACCAATTGTCCAGGTATGTAATTATCACTCAGGGCAAACTCAAAAGACAAAATTACTTTCTGTTTTTATACTTATTGACTTATTTAATTGTATGGACATATAATTTGGCAAACAATTTATTAAATATGAAAAAGTATCTGTATTTTTATTTTACAATATATATGTATCAAAATATTTTTTAAAATCATGTAAATGTATTTTTAAAACATGATTACACATTGTAATAAAATTTAAAAATCCATATAATAAAAATATAACAGTTACAAATACAATAGAATTGTTTACAATAGAATTGTTTATATTTTTACATGTGAAAAAAAAAAAAAAAAAAAAAAAAAAAAAAAAAAAAAAAAAAAAAAAAAAAAAAAAAAATATTATATTTACATTAGTAATTAGAATAATTATTAACTAATGTGGTAAATAGTTTAACAAAAAGTAATTTCTCTCAATATTGTAAAAATCGCAATTGTATAAAACAACGAATTTAAACAAAGATAGTAATATCTTTCAATAAGCTTTAAAGTTCTAAATTAAAGTACACCTATTATTTATTCCTACAATTAGTAGACTGCTTAGAATAATTATTAAAACGAGCGATAATAACTAGCCTGAGCCCTGCGTGGAACATGTTTGCGAGGTATCGCCGAAAGAAGATCCATTGATGAAAATGATACCCGGAAGCTCCGTTTGGTCCAGGATACGCCGTTGGTTGCTCGGAATGCGAATAATATCACGGCGGCATCCGTTCACACAATGGTGCCTGAAAAGTACTCGAGCGATTGATTACGAGATCAACCACCATCTCAAATCCCATCCCTATATGATCCATCCCTTCAGTTCCTTCAGGTCAGTCGCTAGCTTTTGTTTCCATACAAGAAATCGAAAACTCAATCAAGAAATTGAATTAAGAATTTTTTTTATCACAAAGTAAAATTCAACTAATATTGAATTCCTTACACTAGAATATTTTGGGAGTCTGCCATGACGCTATTTATCATAGCTGTTCTGCTGATCACACCGGTTTTTCTCACCTTCTATTTTGATGAACATGCGAAATGGTACATCTTCAATCATGCAATCGACGTCGTACTTATATGCGATATAATAATCTGGTTCTTCACCGGTCACTATGATTCTCGTACGCAAGTAGTGACTCTGGATCCGAGAGTTGTAGCGAGGTACGGTGAAAATGGCATACTCGACTAGTCTCTACGAAAAATTTACTTTTCTCAAATCGTGCCAAATAGTAAAAAACGATAAACATTATGCGTAACGAAATTTTTTTTTAATTTTAAAAAATCATACTTAAACATTTTTTTAATAAATAGTTTAAAGATGAGGGAATTTTTCGAAAATTTGTTACACGATTATGTAGACACTTAGAAAAAATATGAATTTAAAGATTTAATATATGATGTCATCGTAGCCATTATCTACGGGGCTTCTTCATCGTGAATGCGTTATCTGTACTACCATTGGAATTTGTCATCGTGCTGACCGACTCTATGTGGTACCTGGCCTCATTAAATTTGCTGAAAATACTGTGGATACGGACCATTATTATTTATTCACGCAAACTCTATCACGTCAGAATGATCTCTTTATCGCGATTTGGCGGAATCGATTTTATTCATATAGATAATTAAAAAAAATTCCAGGTTTACCGAATTAATTTTCATCTGTACAAAATAGCAGAGATAGGCATCGTTATCATTGTGGGCGTGCATTGGGCTGCCTGTATGGAGTATTATCTGCCGTTGGTAGTTGCCAAAATAGCTGGGCAGAACGATTTGTTGAGTAATCGATATAATTTCTCTATATCATATTTTTTAGACAAAAAATTTGAATTCACTAAATTTGAAATCACTCTTCTTTTTTTCTATCAATAAAAATACGGCACAATAAGGCACTGAAATTATAACTAGAAGGAGATAAATTGCAGATCATGGATCGAATCACCTTATATGGAGAAGAGAGAAACGAAATACAAGATCTACCTGACGTGCATTAATCGAGCTATCATCGCCTTAATTGGAGCTGCGCAATATTTAGACGTTAGCGCATCGGAAGACATCATATATAATTTAATTTTGTCTATCCTCGGGTTTATCGGATTTGTATATCTACTTGGTACGTTGTGATAATTTTTAATAAATTTTTAGTAAATTAGGTAAAATTACTTAATTTTATCAAAATCAATTTAATTCTGAATTGAATTAAAAATTTTACAATAGAAATTATTTTAATTTAAATTATTAAGAAAATAAAGACACGCACATACTAGAATGCATAAGCAGAGCTTATGTATTCATTTATTTTTCTGTCATTTACTTTTGATTAAATTTATTTAATCTATCAATTATGTTATCTTTTTGTGTAACATCCCTATTAAATTTCTTGAAATGATTTCTGTTTGAATGTTTCTTTGAATTATTCTCCCAAGAAATATATTATACGATATAACTTTTCTTTATTCAATCGTAGCGCGAATCTTGCAATTGATGACAACATTTCGTTCGACCACCAAGAGGCACTCGAAATTAATTCAGCAGCTGCAACAATACATGACGTATAAAGAATTACCGTATTCCCTGCAGCGACGATTGCTGAGCTATTATAATTATCGCAACAAAAAGGGATTCGAGAGAGATAAGATAATCATCAATCATGTGTCCCCTTATTTACGAGAGGTACAGCTTTGAAAAGAGAATCCTCGAAATTGTTTCATATTTCCTGAGAGACGCGAAATATTATAATCACATCCAAACTATATTCTTTTCAAAATAGTTTCATTGTGCGATCGCAAATCTCTCTAAAGCCACCCCATTGAAAGAAATGATTGCGAAGACCTTTTCGATTCCGCTGTTATGTCTCGAATAATGCAATAAAATAATGTTGCCAGTTAGAAATTTTCTATATCATGTAATAGCATAAGGACAATGTATTGTAAAAAAATTCGCAAAGGAAATGTATTTATTATATAAAATGAATTTCTCCTCGTTTTTTCAGAAACTTCTTCTGCACAACTATTCACGGTTGCTGAATAACGTGAGGTTGTTTGGGCATCTGCCGCAGCTAGTGGTAACGCAATTGATCGGTGTTGTGTGCTCCGAGATCTTCATGCCGAATGACGCATTGGTTAGAGCAGGAACTCGCGGCGACGCCTTGTACTTTATCGCTTCCGGCACCGTAGCTGTCTACAATAACATTGGGAAAGAGGTGAAAAAATGAAATGAGCATAAAAGTGAAACAGGTACTTATTTCTCGAATTATTCGAATTTCACGTATGCAGATCTACCACATGGAGGACGACGAATATTTTGGCGAGCTGGCCCTAGTGATGGAAGACGAGCACTGGATCGCCAGTGTCATCGCCGTCGAGAATTGCGAAGTCTATATCTTGTCGCGCGCCGATTTTCAATATACTGTGGCGGCTTATCCCGAACTTCTCGCCCATTTGCAGAACGTCGCTCTCGCACGACTGGAGCAGATGCCACTGCTGAAGAAGATCCAGGAGCCGGACGCATCGTCGATCGGAAACATCAATATTAGCAGCATAAAAGCTAAGAGGAGAGGCGATAGTGTGGTAAGACTCGACGCAAAATAGGTGTGCCGTTTATACTCGTCATACTTTTTGATTTCGAAATAGTTCTTACTATTTTATTCATTTCAGTTTTATTTTCCTCCATGTTAGTTATATTTTGTGTTTATAGTTTATTATTAATTATAATAGGACAACATTTTATTACGCCAGAAGATTTGGCCAATGGCAGTTAATTATTTGTTTAACGATATATCGAAACAATTCAACTTTTCATAATTATTATAACGAATCAACAATCAACAATAAACAAACTGATAAGCAACAGTTTCTTATAAGAATCGTTAAACTCTCATTGTTACTATAACGAATTAATAATCAATAATAAACAAATTGATAAGTAACAGTTTCTTATAAAAATTATAAGCTTGTTATTTTCAAGAAAGTGTTTAATTTCTTCTACTTCGATCAAAAACGGCGAATCCTTCGTTTCTGCGGATTTTTGTACGATTGCTGGTACACGGACATGAGACGCCAGTGCTCGGGGTAATCAGCGTCCCGACAGCCGCTCATTATGCTGAATGGCGGCGCGAGAGTATCGATGCAGAAGGCACGTCTAGCGAACGGAGTCCTCGGCCGCGGGACCGTCACCCTCGTCGGCGGTAATCCATTCCTACGCGCCCCATCGTCGCCCGTCGTCCGGCATCTTTGTTCGAGACCAAGCGCGACACCCACCGCGGATCTGATCAGTCTCGGATCCTCTCGGCTTCTCCTTCTTCGCTCGGGTTCCGCTTCCGGTTTGTCGCCCTGACACGCGGCGCACCTGCGTTCGGTGATGCGCGGCACGGAATTTGATCTCGTCGACTTGCCACTTCGAGGAAGCTTATCACGGGGACCTGCAATCAAATCTATTGTTGTAGCTACAGTTAGATAATATATGATAGAAAAAGACCAAAATACATAATTAATCCTTTAAAAATCAATGCTCGATCAATCAATCAATCACTGCTTACATCGTTTCGAATATACTGTGCCTCTAATTCCTTACCGTTGCAGGAGCAATCGCAGCAGTAACTTCTCGGATTCTTTTCCTGCGTTTCCTGCTGCCTCGCGCAATCGCAACGCTCATCCTTTTCTTTGTTGCGAACCAGGAGTTCGCGGTTCTTCGGTGCTGACGTGTGCTGAATCAAAGCGAAGATTGCTGGTGCCAAACCGCCCTCGGAGCCATCGATGTGCGTTGGTCTACGCGGCTCGTATACAGGGTCCATTGGCGTTTCCCAACAGATGGCCAAGTCCATCCGGGTCTTGGGCTTCTTGCAGCCGAGCGAGGGTCCGAACCGATGGCCCTCTGCCTCCAACGTCGTAGCAACAACGTCATCTTGATTTTGACACTCGGCATCTCGTTCGCAACCGGCTGAACAAGAGCGATATCTTTTTTCAAAGATGGAATCGTCCACCCGGTCCGGGAGTGGCTGATGCTGCAAGTTCTCCGCGTGCAATCTCTTCGCCAGAGCGAATTTGTCAGCGCAGGAGGCGATTTCTGAAATGAAAAAAAGGTTCTTTAATTTAATATTACTATTTTGAAAAAATTGCAAATTAATATATCTGATTATCATAATTTCGAATATCGTTAAAATATTTTTTAATGAAAAAGAAAATTATTTCAATCTCACCACGTTGTTTCTCTTCTTCAAAGAGTCTCCTAAGACATCCAGGAGCGTGTTTTTTCGGACTAGGTGTTTTCGACTTTTCCGAGATGCGATCGGATCGACAAGTTTTGAAAAGATCATCGTCGCTTCGCTGAACTATCGATTTACCGCGACAATGAAAGCAATGCTCGCGCGATTCCATACTCTAGTCGATCGATTCTTCTTTACCCAGGAATTGCATAACGAATGCGCGATTCAACATACAATCGACAGGGACGGAGGCGCGTTGTTTCCGAAGCACATTTTTCCAGAGCGGGAGAAACTCGATGGAAATCGTCGCTACTGTTCAGCCTCCATTTTTGGAAAATATCCGAGAACTATCATAGGAATTCCGAGAACCTCGCTCCCACTCTTGATACCTGTCTCCCTGGCGACATGATAATTCGATAACAAGCTGATTTACATTAATAAGATAAGAATCAACAAAATACTGTAAAATTCAAGATCAAGAATAAATATCGATCTGAATTTTCCTCTGTAAGATTAATATTTTCAAGTTCTCCAAATATTGTAATTTTAAATATTATAATTACAATGTTTTTCGTATTTTTCAGGAATAAAATAAATATGGAAACTTTTTAAAGAAGCGTGGGAAACTATCGCATTCGACTGTCTATACACATTAGCCTATTATTATCTTTTAATCAAGATTCATGGACGAATCCCGGCGTTCTCTGAAGCGGAACAATTCCGGATTGCACTAGCGGAAAATCGCACGATAAATTTGAGGGATTTTGCAACGGATCTTTTTTTCTCAGTAACGTTCTGGGTCACGCGCGAATTCGCATGTGTCACGTAAGCACAACGCAAGCGGGAAAACACGCGTCTCCTCAACATGTCTCGAAATTACATATTTCCAGATTGGAAGAGGAGATGTGATGCAGTAACAATGTAAATGCAAAATACCTTCATGAATATAATAAATATTACATTATTACGCTACGTGTCAGTTTGCAAAACAAGAGAGAAACTAGAATATTCTTAATGCAATGATTAAAATCAGAAAGCGGGAAAAAGATCGGCGTCAAGCCAACGCATCTATTTAATTATAGCGAATTCGCTCTTTCCTGGATCATTGCCATTCTCCCTCCAGTTTTGCTGAAAGACCTTGATGCGCGGACAGTCTGCTGTTAGACTTCGATTGAATTATATAGCTAGAATACGCGACAGTCGTAAAGCCATACTTGTTCGATTCCACTCCTTTTCTGGTTTCTCTCAACTGTTGCTAATAAAATATTTGCAAAATAATAGCGGCAATTAGAATAAGCGGTGAGTCGGTGCAATGATCGAACGAGAAATGTATGTGTCTGTTTCATTCAAGATTCATTCCGAGTCATTTAAGATGATCAATTCTCGTACATAATAAATATTAAATACAAGACTGTCCCAGACTAATATCAAAGTTTTTGTGCAAGAAACTAGCAAAGATTTTAAGGTGGAATATGAGAAGAAATTTTTATTGTGCATCATAGAAAATTTTAAAAATCATAAATAGAGGTAACAATGAAAGCGTAGCTATATTTAGCTATATTAGATTCTTCTTAATGATTCAAAAATTCTCTAATAAAAATAAAAATAAAAAAAATTAAAAGTTTTGCTTTTTTAATTTAATTAATAATATGTACATGTATGAGTGATTTTAGAAACACTCACTTTTAAAATTTACAGGAATCAGTCTGTATTCGGGTATTGAATCATTTTGAAAAAAATATAAATTCTATTGAATTCATATTTGTATTTATATTTCATAAATTTCTTACTAGTCATATCCAATGCTTGACATTATCTCATGTGTATTAAATCTTTATCTATAAAAGCAATTTGTAAAAAATAAATTATAAATAAATACTTTCACATAATTTAATAAATTGATACATCTTTTACGATAAATTAATAATCTAATTTAATAAATTAATACATCTAATTTTGACATTATACATATTATATAAAGAATTGTCTGCTTGTTTTATCAATTAGTCAATACAGCAAATTGTCACGAAAGATCTTGAAATCAGATACATACCACGGAGGAGAATCGCCTAACGAGTTAATAGTATCATCGAGCTGAGCATAATTTTAATTGCGTTAACGATCACATGTATTATTCGCAGCAATCCAGGGAAAATACGCGGCCATGATATGTTCCCGGTATGATGCCGTAGTGGCCGATCGTGACGTGAGGATGAATGAATCAGTTGTGTCGCATGGTGGCAAGATCAGTAGACCAGAGTACGTCACGCGTGCCGGACAGTCCGTATCGTGAATCGTTCCGCGGAGGACAGAGAGGAGTACTTTGAAAAACCTGGTGATCTAATTTACGGTGAGCGAATGAGTGAATAAAGAAAGAGTAGATAAAATAAAATATAAAGTTAAAATTTAAATATTTAAAATGTTGATAATGTAAAAAAACGAACGATATTTTATTGTGTTCTTTAAGAGGAAAAGTGCAAGCGCGAAATAGCTACGCAAAGAGATTTTATGAATAAATAAATTAAAAGAAATAAGATATAAAAATAAAGCGATGTAATATATGAAGATTAAGTAATTTTGACGCAAAATATTTTTCATATAAATATTTTCACATTTTACATTATATTTTTATATACATATAAAATATATATTTATATATTTTAATTATTTATATATTTTAAATATTTATATATTATATATTATTATCGTATATATTTTTCGTATAAAAGATCCAAACAAAACTGTTTTGTACTGCAACAAATATTAACAATAGCAACTCTCAGAAACAAATATAATAATAGTGCGATAAAATGTTATGAAACGTTTTAATCACATATCTTGAGGTGTAATTTTTGTATCGTGGTTTTCCGGTCACGATAACGAAAAAGTATGTTCTCGAATATATTAGAATAATTCTTTCATACGAAGTAGCGTGAGTGAAACGTGAAGGAAATTATTTATTTTTCCACAGATAATATTCTTCGACTAGCGTTTGATTCAGTTTCCCGGCGAGATGGACAACAAGGTGAAGACTGGCAATGATCAGATAATACATTTGGACGAAATCCACGACGAGGCGGTAAGGCCGCTGACTGCATACGGCAATACGGATGCAATTCCGTCCGTGTTTTCGCGCGCCGGTTTGACCACCGAGACTGATGATCTCGCGAACAACCCGGGAAATACAGCACGGAGGCCTTCGATCCCCAGAATCGAGATCGATCCTGACGGAAACGACAAGCCGGTGGTTGATTTTGACAGAAACGGACCGGATTTCTCACCTGGCTGGACCATCCCACCGTCCGTACAGCTCTCCACTCCCGATGTAAACGTTTATCAGCACAAAAAGACTCTCGCCCAAGGTATGATGGACTTGGCGTTGCTGTCCGCCAACGCGAATCAGATGCGCTACGTTCTGCAGACGGATGGTCGACATCCCTACTTTTATCCGTCGCTCACCATGATCATCATGAGCCTGTTGCTGCAGATCGCAGTGGGTATCGGCCTCATCTGGAACAGCGTCTACAATGTCAAGGAACACGAGCAAATGTGCAAGGCTAATAAAGCCAACAACTGGACGGTCATCGGTATTTTCCTCGTCACAATACTCAACGTTTTTATTTCATCGTTTGGCGTTGTTGATCAGATATCCGTCGCATAGCCAGTCTTTCCTTCTCTTTCTATCTTTTTCTTTTACTGCTCTCTTTATCGACGATACGCAATCGCCATACATAAAACGCAACACATAAAATGCATGCGTTTTACATTTAATGTTGGATAACATATTTCCGTTGTTTTTCATGCGATATTAAGGAGACAAAAGCTTGATTTAAAACAAATTGTTATAGAAAATTTCATTTTTTATATATTATTTATGCATTATCTGGTATAATTTAAAATTAAGATTTTTTTAATTGCTACAATATTGAATTACGATGAAAGATGAAAAGTCAGAATCTTTTTTCTTTTTTAAACATTTTTTTATGTCGTCAAAGACAGATATTTTAGCGTGTGGCATTGGATCATTCTGTACACATTCGTTGTTTGCATTCTCATTATAAATTGTATTCATTTTCATCCATATAACTGAATATGTAAACGATTTATTCGCGTGGATAATTTAAGAAAACACTTTTTTTAATTTCAATGTGATAATAATTTATAAAATTTTTATATAAAATAAATCTTTTAAATGTATAAGCGTACGTTTAATACGAGAGGAAAATAATAATACGTCGATTATACGCGAATAGTGGATGGTATCAGCTTTAGCATTCTTTCCAACTCGTCGGCCAGTTGCTTCCTGTTCCGTTGGAGATATGCCTCCTCGCGCTTCTGGTGTTCATTCAAATCGTCTAACCAGTTTTGTGCCTCGCTATTATTACACTGACTACTTCTGTGCGTGCGAGACGGACAATCTAAGGCCGTGTTTCGAAACTCGTTGCCCACCGTCTTCATGGATGTAAGATTTCGGAGCTTCTTCCTAATCAATTGACGCAACAACGAGTTGAAGGCGCCGAGTTCCTGCGAATCGATCTCTCTCGGATTCGTCTCCGTGGATTTTCTGTGCTCCTGAATCACCGTAACCTGCAATACACGTTATCATTCTATTGTAAAAAAATTTTCCGTTAATACTCAGGTAGCAAAATGACGTCTCCAGGCGTCTTAATGACGTACAATGACGTCATTAAAACGTTATTAAGATGTCAAGTGACGTCACTCTGCACTAGGGTATTATTCGATACTCGAGTTAATTATGCGATTTTTCTTTCTTTCTTTTTTTTCATTGTAAAAAATGATTTCATGTAAAATTTTCTATTGTTAAATTCCAACAAATACTGATCTTTAATTTGTACAAAGAATATAAATTGAGTGTAAATTCTGTGAGCACGAAACCAAAGTAAATAACGCGATGTTTTTTCTCTTTCTTCATTTATTGATTAATTTAGTCGTTAATTTATCTGCTAAATGGTAACGTAATCTTTTCTCATTTTAATTAGTAAAATAAAGAAGAAATTAATATAAATATGCATTGCAAAATCGAAAGAAATTATTATAAGTATGCATTGCAAAATCAAATTTCTCCATTGTAATACTATCAGTAACTCTTTATGAATATTTCTTCAATAATACCCGAAATCCAAGATTATTCAAAACAAGCTGAACAATTCCTGATAACGTTATCAATTAAAATTATCGTCACGCAATAAAAAGGTCATTAATTATATTGTATTAATTTTCTGCATTATAATTCTATCAGAAATTCTTTATAAATACTTTTTAAATGATACCGGGGGATTATCCAAAATAAGTTGAAGAACCTCTCTCTGATAACGTTATCAATTAGAATTATTGTTACACAAAGAAATTCGATTCAAAGATTCAAATTAACAGAAAACAAGTGCTTTACTATTGCAATGTAAATTTAATTTCCCAGCTTTTCTTCGCATCACAGTGAGAACAGTTTTTCTATTCGCAGATTGAGGAAGAGATCGAGAGAATCCAACGCGAGCAGTTTGAGACTCACCATCCAGTCGAAGAACGCGTGTCGCCTTCGCAGCCACTTGGCACGCGTGTCCAGCAAAATCCCGGCGTCGCGGAATTCTCGCCGTCGTTCCTCGTCACCGGAACTCTCGTCAACGTTCATCATTGCCAGGCGTTTCGTCAACGCCGATTCGGACACGTTCAGATGCGGCAGACCGCTTACATTGATACTCGCTGCGTGTACCTTGGACACCAAGCTCCCTCGTTCGCGCGTCAATTCGTCGATCTCCCGTAGATTCAAATTCACCTTGGCGTTGAGGTATAAGATACTGGCAAGTTGAGTGTTCGTCAGTTGATCGTCCAGTCGTACGACTGATGTTGCGGATTGGATAGAGGACTTCTGGATCAAAATAGAAACGTAAAGATGATATATTGACAAATAGATCATGTACGAGAAATATTCTTCTCTACGAACTTTTGGCGGATCCACGCGTGAACATTCGGCGCCCAAGACGCCACCGGCCAGCTTCGTTCGGAGGACGACAGTCAGGACGTTTTGCGTTTCCAGCAGCCAAGCTAAAGCTACCAATGAGTCTCTGTTGCGATCGTTTCTGCTTCTCGACAGACTGTAAAATTCTATCGCTGGATACTGCAGAAACGCGAGATGCAGCTTCATCGCCGTCAGCGTATCTAGAAATAGGAACACGCGAGATAATTGAATAAGATGTAAAATCGTTTCCGTAAGACGATTAAATTGAATCTGGAATGATTTGCTACATTTCACACGCTTTGCTAATATCATATTTATCTATATTTGTCCTTGTTCTCGTATATTTCTACGTTTCTTACTTTATGCATATTCTTTTTCACTTTTTTTATATTCTCATTATGTAAGCTTAATTTGGTTTTTGTTTTTTATTTTATGGCATCATTTTATGTAAATTCCTTCTCATACCTATATTTTTATACTATAAGAATCTAGCGAAAAAATAGGATAATTATCAACATCGCGTGAAATTTTTATTTAAATAAATATAAAGTTGTTTATAATGTTATTTTTATACACTTGCATAAAGACAAGAAAATTTTCTACTTTTTTTTTATTTTTAAGCACATGATTATAACGTTATTTTTTTCAATTTCATATATATCTTTGCAATTTTTCTTAACTTTATCATTAAAAACATGTATGTTTTTATCTAAAAAACATATTGTTTAATAAAAAATTACTTATTTGTTGAAATAGAAATTTTACACGACGTTGAAATAAAGAATATTTTATTTTTTGGTTCCCTTAACAAGTACTTTTTTCCCAAAATAAATTATTACATAATTAACTACAAAAAATTTCAAATAAAAGCAAACTAATTGCTAATCGTGAGATTCTATAATTACGTGTATCAATAATCATAATATAAATATAAACTATGAAATCGAGAATTACAAAAAAGTGCAATTTTCATAATCACTGCCAGATTAAAGTGTAAATCAATCGAAACGAACCGTAATCTCGAAAATCTATATCCCCTCGCTTTTCTCTCGCTGCATGATAGCTCAGAACGTGCAGCGTGTTCCGTAGCGTCTCGGACTGTCAAACAAAAACACATGTCGCGTGACACATTTGTCAAATAGGTTAGGTTAGATAGATTAAGTGTAGGCTAAATTAAACATTAAGTAACTCGAATTTAATCTATACACTTACAACATCCTCGTCCGCAGCATCGTATTTGGATAATCTCAGATGCTCGGGTGTCAATCCTACGTTTATTAACGAATTGATATACCTGCACAACGCCGATAACGCGCCTCTTATTTCACACATGTTGTTTACAAATACAAGTAACGCGAGTGTGAGTCTCGATCCCGCTATCCGACCCGGATACCGCTTCCAGGCGCGCTCGTTTCAACTCTGCATTCCCTCTAACGTGCACCTAAAATAAGAAAAATCATCGAGTATGAAGCTCTTTCGTGAGAAAAGGATGATAAATATAAAAAAAATTAAGTCTCATACCGGCTTTTAGCACATGTTTTCCTTCCCACGCGCGCAGGGGACCCCCCTACGCTATTAAACAAGAGAGAGGGAACGGAAGGTTCATGCCGCATGAAGAGAATGGAATATTCAGGCCCATATACGCTTGCATCAGTCACGGTCAACGGATCCCCTCCTCACCCTTACCCCGTGCCACGCCGGAAATAAATTCTCTCTATTTCTCTCTCTCTCTTTCTCTCTCTCTCTCTCTCTCTCTCTCTCTCTCTCTTTCTCTGTCCGTGGCGAAGGCGTACTTCAAATTATCGGAATCGCGTGGACAGATCCAGTGGAACGCGAACGTTCGCGCGCGTCGATCGTCTCGTTGATTGGATTGTGTGATTCGTGGAATATACCATCTGTCTGTTGCAGGAGGCCGCGCTGAAATGACACCGAGTGTTCTTTGGACGAGATGGAGAATGTACCTGATGCTCGTCCTGGTGAGAATTCGTTCCAATTTCTTCCGGGTTTCTTTCTCTCTTGGAACGTCTTCCAACTGGCGATCGATCTTTTAGCAAAAGTTCATCTATATCGCTGGAACAAACGCATATGTGTTACGTTTCATGATTTTTTTATAACTCAGATATTATTAGATACCTCGAGGCAGTTTATACACGCGCGTAGATTCTATATCGGTTGAAAAATGCATAAACACGTCCCTGACAAATCGCCGAGAAGAAGTGTATACACGATAGCATCGCATTACCTCGATAATATTTCACAATCATACTTCCATATATTATTTGTGTCTTAATTAATGTCTTCGTAGAACAGATACCTGAGACTTTTCTTTGAGAATCAGAAAACACGATAGATACTTTAGGTAACGGATGTGTGTTTACCAAAGATAATTCCAATGAAAAAGTCCACGTATAATCAAACATAAACATGCATAAGATATATTTATATATGTTTTCCTTCACTTGTAATCTCTATTCATTATGTAGAAAAAAATTATAAAAAGAATAATTGAAAAAATATTCTTTTAATTATTTTTCAAATATTTCATTTTTCTGTATCTATGAATAGACATTATATAAGAGAAACAAAGTATATGTGGACATGTAATTATGTATATTTACATTTGATTATACATGGATTTTTTTTTCAGAGAGGATGCTGGAAGCGTATGTTTCAAAATAACATGGTCGTTTATATCTTAAAAATTCTTCTGTTTGTTTTCATTTACAGATTCTTTTTTTTCTCTCTCGTTTCGCACTTTTATATTATATTTTCCTGTATAGCTTTCTTTTTTTTAATTATTTTTAATTATTTTTTTCTTGTGCCTATTGCGATGTAAAAGTCTCATGTGACGCAGATTCAAACATTACGCACGGAAGTTGCCAAACGCGCGGTAACGTAAGCGTCAGGTGGAAAACAAAGAGGAAAGGAACGACTAATAAAACGATGACAGGCAAGGATACCTGGAAATCGCGACGGATGCGTAATTTCGCGATTCGCCTCGCTGGCGAATCTAAATTCAACTGTGAGAGGCGGGATATCTGACCCACACACGTACATCGCAAAATATTGCGCGCTCCTTTTACCAATGAGTTTCCCAGTATATATATATATATATATATATATATATATATATATATATATATATATATACAAAGATTGAGACAATTAAAGTTATATATAAGTACTCGGATTATTTAAAGAAGGTGAAAGGTTTTAAAATTCTATTATTTAAAGTTCTCTAAATTCGTTTCACCATATAAACGTGATTGTGAGATTCACGGTAAAAGTTGTCATTTTAAAGTTCATTCGGAAAAAATTATATATATATATATATATATATATATATATATATATATAATTGGTGAAACGAATTTAGAGAATTTTAAATAATAGAATTTTAAAACCTTTCACCTTCTTGAAATAATCCGAGTACTTATATATAACTTTAATTGTCTCAATCTTTGTAGCCGTCCTACGAGCATTTAAAAAAAAATCTCTATACAGACATATCTCTATACTCTATTATATCTATCTCTCTATATGATCATTCGTCGTAGGAATCAGTCGCGTTATATAATTACATTTGCTTGTAGCAGGATCTCGACCGCCTCGGTGTGTATAAATATAAAATGATTTATCTCCCTCTCTTATCATTTTTCCATTCTCTTGCGCGAACGCGACCGATTCTCTTATCTGCATCGCCAGTTTCTCGGAAAATGACTTTTTAAAGAAGGAAAATGGCGCGAGAATAAATCTAATTAACTTGGTTCCCGACAGTTTCTGCATTTTTCTTTTTTCGTTCAGATGTGTCAGACGGCGCAACGAGTCCAAAGTCATCCTCACGCTTCCACGAAAGCATCGCAGGACATCAAGAGTTCCTCGACGCAGGATGTATCGATCTCAAAGATAATCGAGACGGCGTACAATAGAAAGGAATTATTGCGAAGGGAAGAATGGTTGCGGCGAACTGACGATCGCCTGGTGACCAGATCATTGGACTCGGATATCTCGAATGAATCGGAGTATCTGAATGATGGAATCGCTTCGCTTGGCGAGAGGAAATTGTTGGAAGGTACTTTACGTGCATAATCGACGTCCAAATGATCGAGACATCCTTTTTCCGATGATTCTCGTCCAAGAGTGAATCTGAAGAGAGTAAAAATCTTTTATCGCCGACATTTTTTAAACCTTATTTTTCCTTCTACGAAGACCAACATACGTGAAGTAAAAATTTGCTTACTTTTGTATCGATAATCGTTAAAATGTATTATTCTTTTGCAGCGACGAGTACGGATGTGTCGACGACGCGAACGGACGCAGATGAGAAGATCGTTTTCCCAGACGGCTCAAACAGAGTCTCGTCGATACCGTCGACATCGACGACAGCGCCAGCCTGCTACAAGGATGCATTCTGCGAGAACGTCGCCGATTATCCCAGGCAACTAGTGAGCGCGGCGATAGCGCGGAATGTCAGTCTCAGGTTCCTGGAAAGCATCGATCCGGTTAATAATTTAATTAAATCTTTCATATTTGAGACATGCGAAAAATAAAATCTAAGAAATAAATCCTCCGATACAAGCTTGACGAATCTGTATCAAAGACAATCTACTATATGTGTTTTGATTACAGATAACGATTATTTTCACGTGTCTCCAACATCGAAATTCGAACGCGAATTATATCAGTTTTAATCTTTCAGATGCTCGTCGAACAAAGAATAGATGTATCAGAAGTACCTCTTTGCCAATATACCGTAAGTAACAATGCTTTCATCTATCATTTTCATTAAAAAAAGATCAAAGAATTTAAGAACATGTGATATTTAGAAAAAAAATTAAAAATGTTCGCCATTAAATTATATTCCCAAATTAAGAGATTTCAATAAAATAAATCGAGTGTTCATTTCAAGTCACTTTTATATTTCAAAGATGTATATAAAGAGATAGATATATAAAAATATATAAAAAGATGTAAACAAACAGAATTATTGTTTTCCATAAAAATTTCAAAAATACAATGTATAAATATATTTATACATGAAGCATTGCGTTCAATTTCCGTTTTATTTCCGATCAAAGTGGATTTTATATGTAATTGAATTTTGCATGTAATTTTTCCGTTCATTTGTATGCGCTTAAATTCCTCCGATTTTTCTTTAAGTCACACATATTGTAATATAATAATTATTCATTATTAGATATTTGAATAACATTTAATCGCAAAATCTTTCGCTCGACTCACAGGACCAAGTGGTGTATCCACAGTCCGCGCAAAACAAGGAGAAACAGTGGCTGTTCATCGTAAATCAGGAGGATTTGAAGCAGGGAATACGCATCGAGGTTTGCTTGTAGGCGTTGCGATTCCATTCGAAAAGAGATTAAAATAGAACAGCACGGATTATCCGGCGTATCCGTAACGAATCTTCAATTTCGTAGGAACGAGGGCCAGGAGTGCAATATGATTCAGGGATTCGCTGAAGGTTACAAGACGAGCTGTAAGCAGAAGTATATCTATCGAGAATTGGCGGCAGTGGGCAACAACGGTAACATCATCAAGGACCAATTCCGCTTCCCGTCGAGCTGTTGCTGTCACGTCAAGTTCGTCGGTGATCCCTCCGTCAGGCTGGGAGCAGATGTACGCTCCTTCCATCGAAACACCACGGTCGCATCGAAAGCACAATGGAGGCCGTAAAGAAAATAATCGCAGAAAAAAAATCGTAACGTGATACTCGTTAAAGCGTATTTTACACGATGTTTCTTTTTTTTCTTATCAATAAAAAATCACGTTAAAATATTGTCATAAAATAAAATAAGTCATTTAAATGAGTCATTTTTAGATATGTATTGTAATATCATTCTCTAGCGCGCTTCTCACGCTTATTTAAAAGAAACATCGGTATATTGTACGCTTTAAATATAGCGTTCCATATAGCATCCTATGTTCAAAAAAAACCATTAACCGGACATCTTGAAGATGTCTAATTGCCCAAAGATATCTTCTAGATACCTTTTGAACATTTTTTGGATATGCATGCTATGTGGGATATTCTCTTCTGACGATACGTCGAGAGAATTCGTTATATACGCCTATCTGGACTTTTACCAGCTTCCAAGAGTTTAACGATGATACTAATAGAGGTGTCTCTATTCTACAAGAGATGCAGTTTTTATATAAATATCGCAAATGCTCTTCTATATTTTTAAATACAAACATTATTCGATAAGATAAAAAACAGAAATACAGAATTACATATTATTCATATGTGTGATATTATGTGTGATACGATTACTTATGTTAGTTACATATTAATGTCGTATTTTATAAATCTTACGAGTAATCTTAAAAATAAAAACGAGCTATTTAATCTTGTAATAACATATTTTCTCCACATTGTACGTCAGATTGCTGACAAAGGCACCATTTATAAAGTATTCAAAGCTTTTAAATATATTCTAGTCTAGAGATGTAAAGATGTATAAAATAATTATTTGTAGTGCAAATAATTTTTTCTGGCAGTTGTATATTCGAAATGTGGAAGTCAAAGATTTGCCTGGATATAATTTTTCTTAATTCCCTAAACGAGTTACGATACAAATGCAATTTTGCGCGTACGAAAGAAGTACACTCGCTATCTATTTGACGAGTAAGGAACATGGATATTAAAAAATCAGTCGCTGTTTCGCCATGTCAAAAATGTCTCTCACACTCTGTCGTATTAAACATTCTCCGCTGCATCTGTCACATTAGGCAGTAACGCCACTCTCAGCAGGTCTGCAACAGAAAGAACAAGCGATTCATATCCAGCGAAGCCTTTGTGACAGAACGATCCAACGACGTAGAGGAGACATTATCTCCTATGGCAGGAAAAAACAGAATTCACAGGAACGTGGCTTCAGAGAGGGACTCGAGGAGGCTGGAAAGAAATTAAAGAGGATGATTCTCGACGGGGAGGAGCAGAAACTTACCTTGGCGCCAAAGTCACCGTTGTAACTGCCCTTCCTCTGCATTTGCGCCTGAAGATCGGCCAGCTGGGCGATCGACATGTCGATGTCGCCGCTGCTGATGTGCGCCGTGTGCCGGAAATTTGTGGGCACGCCGATCATGCTCCGGTCTATCCTGAGCCTCTGATGCGGCCTGCTGTTGTTCCGTCTACCGGTGTTCCTCGTCGCTCGTGGCGTCAGGCAGCACGTGAAGCATTGCACCCAGAGCTCGCTGTCCCCGGCCATCGTCGATATCCTTGTGAACGTAGTTTGTAGTCCTCGGAATGAATTTGCAGAAGGAGGAACCTCAAGTTGATCCTTAAGTCGAATGAATAAAAAATGAGCTGATTAAGATGATTACTTGATATTCTCGATATCCTTCTTCTTCTCCGCCAAAGGAACGGATGGGCCTTGCTCCGGAGTCAAGGCTCGGGATGCGATCAGCAACGTGCAAGGTTAAGTCCGCGACGCGAAGATTTAACGATCCTATTAAGGATCTCGCGACCTTTCGGCGTCCCGATCTCAACGACTGACGAGTCGAGCAAAATAAACATTTCCGTGAAACGCGCGGCTTGCGGCTACGAAGGACATCGTCCCCTGCGAGCGTAAACACGATGACAGGCAGGATGAGATACGTGTATTCGGCCGAAACAAAGGCAAGTCTCCCGCGATGTGTTGACTGTTGACGCGGCGCTCTCTGTTAGCGTTTAAACTTGTACAGTTCCTGCAGAAAGTGATTGAATGAAAAATATTCTTACTCTACGGATAAAAGTCCACAATTTCTATAAAAACTGAACAGATGAATAACAATATATTTTTAATTTAATGATAAATTTAATGATATATTTTTATTAACTATGTGCTGTCATTTTCGATTTTTAATATCTCTCAATGAAGAGTTAAATTTGAAAGTTTTTAATTTTTTTAAATGTTGGACATGGAAAATGTCCTAAAAAAATATATCGTTATTTTAACAGCAAGGATGCGACTGATCCTAAATTTCAGTAAACTTTAATTATTTATAAAAAGAAATAAAATCTATGAATTATGATATACTTTGCATACATCATCTGAAATATATAATATTAAAATATCTGAAATATATAATATTAAAATATTTTTGCAAAAAAATTGATTTTTGTCATTTTATTTTGCTTATAAAAACGTTGTTTTCTGTAAAAGTAATTCTATATTTTCTATAATTGTGGAATTTTTAAAATTCTTTAATAATAAAAGAATTTTTGGATTTTTGAATAATATTCTCAAAGAATAATTTTTTGTTTTAGAAGTTAATTCGATCTTAAATAACATCGATTTCAGAAAATTGAATCTTTTGATAAAAAAAGTTATTAAATATAACAAATCTAATAACTTTTTTTTTCCTTTCAAAAATTCAAAAATTCAATTAAATTTACATTAAGCAGAGTTTAATTTTTAAAAGTTCCTTCTTTTCTATCATAACTCGAAATTTACAAATGACTGGACATTTCTATGAAAATCAAATCGACTTAATTATGATCACAAAGTTCGCATTACATTGTTTTAATAAGAATAATTATCATTTTCGATTTTAAATTAATCGCTCCAATCAGCCAAAAAATTGCTTCCATTAGTGCTCCCATAGTTTAAGTATAAAACAATCTAAAAAAATCATCTACTACAATAAAGAATAATGAAAGGAAGGTGAGAGATATATAAAATGCCAGCTAATACACTTTATTTAAATAAATTATATACAGTACGCTTCGAGCCAGATGGAGCGGTTCGAAATTTACGTTTTTTATCGTTTAAAATTCGATAAATTAAATTTTTTTACGACAAATTGACTGCAAAGGCCTTCATATTCTCTTAATATTCTTTTATTCAACCTTCATAGACCCCTGTGGTCTTTCCTTTCCGGAGGATAAATTTTCCCAAACGACTTCTTTCTCTTCTCGTAGCTCTTCGTTCACGGGAGACATTTGCGCAACATTGTTAGAATTATCACAGTCTGTCTATTTACAGCGTTAAATGTTAAAGTGATGATCTCTTAATCTAGAGAATTAATATCTTTCACCTTCTCTCCGAATACTTCGTCTCGCATTTTATCAACTAACAAAACTCTCTACGCCATTTAATTCATGGAATTTGCAAAAATGGGCTTTTATAATACTTCAACTACACGTGTGTATGAATTTTCTTCAAAGGAGACACTTCTTGTGAGTGCGAGCGTTATATTATATTAGATAAGTAAACTTAGATATTAATCGTACATATATCAAATAATCGAATAATCTAATGGCGAATATGTAGATTCGCTTAGTATAATGTGTATGTGCGTATATATGTACATATAAACGTACTCACATATATAAAATATCATATTAGTAAAAATTTTCAGTGTTACGCTGGATGATATATACAGACATTTAGGGAATACAGTTGCATTCTCAAAATTTTTTCCCGACATTCAAGTCTAATACGGTGTTTTTCCTCACAGTCAGAGGCATATATACTGTTCGATCGTGGCTTAAATCGTATTTAAGATTGGTTGCGAAAATGCCACGTAAAATCTTCAAGATAAATAAAATACAAAATTCTAAAATTTAATCATCTAATTCAAGATCTTTCTTTCTTTCTATCTATGAAGATAGTAAAGTTAAATAATATATCATCATTTCAATGCGCTTTCATAATTATATACGTTGTAAATTTTCAGAAGCATAATTATAAGCCGCAATCAGGCGACTGCAATTTTTATAAACATGTTTCAAGAAAATAAAATTCCAATAAATTAAAATCATTTTTAATCAAGTATAAATCGATTTCTATCAAGCAGATTTTTAACAATTTTTCTGCATACGTTAAAGTTTTTTATTCCAATTTTCTCTCTCTATCATATAAAAGGAATAAAAAGAAGGGTTTTGCTCATTTTGCTTGAGAACTGAAAATTTATAAAGACGAGATATGATTTTAATAAGAAAAATATAAATCAAACAAAAATATCGAAAACATAATAAAAGCCAGAAAACAGAGCCTAAAAAATTGTATCTGAAAACATTTAACTATACAAATAGAATTTCACTCTCCAATCGATCTGTTTGACAATTCTACTTCTTATTTTTTTAGCTCTCCGTCTTTTGTAATTTCTAGTGGTTCTATGTATAAAGATCTTTTCGCAATATTTGTCTATTAAAATGAATTCATTGATGAATCACATTTTCTAAATATGCTAAAATCGATGAGAGACTTGAAGATTGCAATTTTTTATTTGTTCGAAATGGAACCAGAGTTCAAATTTTATTTATCTAATATAATTAAACAATTTAAAAAAATTTTTGCACTTAATTCTCATTAACCTGATATCGCACTTGACGAAAATTTTATATAATGACACGTCACAGTCTTTCGATATTTTGGCGAGTTCCTTTTCGAATAGGCTATAAGATCATTAAACGAGTACTCAATGTCACTCATGTTTTATAGTAAGACACTTCCGGGTCAAACATCATCTTTGCAGATACTCAATGTTAATAAAAAAAAATTCAAAAGTATCTTTGTCGATTTAATATTGCGTAAACTCATTAGTAATCTTTTGTATGGATATTAAATATTTAGCTGTGTATTATATTAGGCAAGTATCTACTTCCGTGTTGCAGACATTTACATTTGATTCGCAGAAATGCCTAATTTAATACGCAAAGATGATTTAATTGAATCGTACATGTTTCTAAATAGGATGCGAAAGTTTGTTTTTCATGGTCAATCTTCTCAGCTGAATGATCCGAGATTTATGGACGAACATTCGCGCGGTCTGATGACACGAACAAGGGGATATTATATATATATATATATATATATATATATATATATATATATATACATACACGTATTCGTACGATGTTATTCATGTACGGTATTCTAAAGCTACAGATCTATAATCCACTTTTGATAAAAGAAATAAAACATTTATTTTCCATAGAAGAGTGCATTGATAATGAGTGTATTGAGGAAAGAAATAATTAAAATTAAATAACAGAATGCCTCGATAAAGAATTGATGTTTTCAAATAATCTTAATTAGATGCCTCGACAAAAAAAATTATTTTTTTACACTCACATATTTGAAAAAAATCACTTTAAAATAGATATATATATATATAAGGCGTTATACAACTTTCAAAATTGATTGGAAATAGATAATATTTATAAGTTGTGATATTTATTTTATTTTATTAACTAAAAGTATATTTATAAGTTTTAGTTTCAAAGGTACATAATGATAAAAATTGAAAAGATGATATATTGTAAATAAATGACACATCATTATTTTCACAAAAGGAAAATGAAAATGAAATGATTTTATTTCATAAAAAGAAAATTAAAAAAATGTAAATTAACTAAAAAACTGACTGGAAGAGTCGAGTGATTCGCTGACAACCTACGCATACCTATGCACGAAAACTATTTGCACGTGCGATGCTAAACAGACAATCCATCTCTTTAGTATCTTCCTCGCGTGTGTATATGTGTGAATTCTCATAAACTTTCGCATCTCATTTATCGAATGATAAATCATGGTACAGTCACGTAATCAGTCAATATAGTTGACGTTTCCTATTCATAGACAAGTCCTACAGATATATTTTGACATTAAAATTATGAATAATAATGGCTGTTAAAATTCTCTGTTAAATTAAAGTTTCAAATAGTGCAGTTTCAAACAGATACAGATTTGAGACAATATAAAATTAATGTTAAATGATAACAACTGAAATAAGAATTAAACGAAATTGAGAAATTGCTATACACGCTATTATACAACTTTTGTCTTCAGAAAAAAATAAATTTATTTATTTTAATTTTGTATGCCTTGAAAAATGTTAAACTTTTATAATTTAACTTAAAAAAGAAGACAACAATTTATAATAAAACACTCCCGTTTCTATGAAACGCAACAAGAATGCACTTTACGTTTTATCGATCAACAATTTATTTATATCTTGAATTTAGAAAAGGAGAAGAAAATAAACCTGTAGAAATTGTCTATCGAATAAAGACTCTTAACCATTCTGACACTTGACATACAAGCTATACGGGACCTTGCAGATAGGGCAACTTTATCGAGCGAAGCCGAGGAAATCGGTGAGTCGATCGTTCCAATCGTGGAGCCAATGAGTGGGCCCGTGACTCGGCTGCCGTTGCTTGCAGTGGTTGATCTCCTTCTCCGGTGGCATGTACTCCTCGCTGCGTATGCAGAAGTAGCTCTTGATCGGGCTGCGACACATCGGACATCGGTCGAGCTTGCCGAAGCACGAGGCGCAGATGCAAGTGTGCCGGCAAGGTAGCAGGGCACGCGACAGCGGGAAGTATTGGCAGACGACGCACAACTGCTCGCCCGCGGTATTCCAGAGGGAACCGTTCTCTTGATCGCCACCCTGGCCGGACGATACTAGGGCGCCGCGGCCATTGGCAGCGGTGCCGTTGTTGTTGTTGTTGCAGGGCTCGGCGAGCGCGAGTGCTGGCGAGCCCAGGCCTGAAGACATCGCGTCGCTCTCATCGTAGTTGCTCGAGTTACCCGTGGCTAGGTAGAGTTGCTGCGGAAAAGCACCAATTGGACGACATCGCGTATCAATGACCAGAGGAGGTTCTTCCTCCAGGCTACGTTTTTATCTTTTATTTATCGCACAAAACATTAGAAATTTTAGGCGACTTAATATACTTAATATACTCTGATTTGACATTTATAACAGTCGATAGCTGGATTTGTATGACCTTTAAAGTTGAAACAGGTTGTACATGGAAGTCTCAACTCACCTTTAAGCAAGATAGCTGACCGTTCGCCTGCTTCAAGTACTGCGCTAAAATCGAAGTCGGTAGCGTGCAAACGCTGTCCTTGATATGAACGACATTCACTAGTGCCACCTTAAACCAGAAGGGGAGATAACGTAATCAAGGCTTTTGCCTCCTGTTTGTAAGAAATCAATCGAGTTCAATCATGACGACGGTAATAAAATTGCTCACGGTTTCGTCGGGATGAGGATCCCGATTGTCTCTTCGGGTGAGAAAGATCACCAGGGGATAACAGAGTCGTGGCGGAGTGCCAAGTTCCAGTTCCGGCGCCGGAAGCGACAATCTCAGCGTTTCCTCTCCATGCGGCTGTCTACTACAGTCTCGGTCAAGGAAACGGCGTAATTATATACACAAAGGAGAAAGACATAAACGATAAGCGAATCCATTCTCGGAGAAGGGTCGAGCAAAATTATTAGGTTCGCGGTCGGTCGATTCGCTTGAGATTTCCTCACTGCAGCCAGTATTTCACCACGACTTCGCAGAAGCGGAAAGTGAATAGTGCGAGTGTTTTTTCCCTCTCAATTTTTACATGCCGAAATAAATTGGTTTCCACGTACGCAATTAGAGGCCGGAAATTCTTCTTTTTTATAGTCTCGCGTTAGCGAAATACAGCTGCAATTCAGCCTGGCCTACATTCTCAGCGAAGATAGATCTCTCGCAATAGGTCGAGAGATTGGAATTTATGGTTGCGAGTCGAAAACAAGTCTTCGATCTGCGAGAAAAAAAATTAATTTATTTGACGAAACGAAAGGAAAAAAATCGTACAACTTTTCTCTCGCGTCTGACGTCATGCGTTGAGAGGAAGGACAAGATATCTTTTCGCGTGTGTATTCGATTCTTTCGAAACTATTTTTCGGCCATACTTCTGCACGAAACGTTCGATGAAAAGCGAGGCAGAAAGGGATTTACGTTAATTAAAAATGACAAGGATACGTTTGCGGCGTCGTAAGGTGTTGCGCGTGGCCTTGTAAAAGGGTTCCGTTCAGGGATGCGTCCCGCAAGGTGTTCCACGGCTTCCAGAGTGCCAGATGCAGCTCCCGGATGCTAACGCCCCAGATCGCCTGCAGCGAGTATTCCACTTGACTCGACACCTCGCACTCCACCTCTGGAACAGACAGATTTGCTCTCTTCAAGATATGATACAGCAGCGGAAGTTGTTATCGTGTATTTTTTAAAAATACACGATAACAACTAGCGATAAGAGTGCAAAGTTTCAATATAAATTCAATATAAATATAAATATAAATATAAAATATAAATTCAATATAAATTCAATATAAATTTCATTATAAATTAAGATTGAACAGTTAAATGAAAAGAGTATGAAAATTTTAAACTATAAAAAACCCTGGATTTAAATATGAAACTCAAACTAGATTGAATGGAAATAAAAGACTATTTATATTTATTTATTTTGAGAGATATTTAGAATCGACTTTGCTGCAACATCTTTTTACCGCGTTTCAAATTATTCCGAATAAAATAGCGCGCACTTCTTTTTCCTACTCGATACATAATATTATCATAATAATATTTTTCTTTCCGTAACGTCGCTCTTTCTTTGAGCAACAACTCGTAAATGAAAACAAATTGCGAATAATTTTGAATATCTTATTTCTACTTTTTGTTCCTTTTGAATCAGACAATATTTAAAATACAAAAAAAATTATCGTGTCACAGTGTAAACACTCGTATTAGCAAACAGCTGAAAAAAAATAAAAAGAGGATTATTTTTCTAATGTACAAGATTTTTTCAACAGATTTCGCAATTATACATGTAGACATAAAAATGAGGCTCGATTAAAAATTTGCACATTAAATTTATAAACATTTAAATGTGTCGAAATGATATAATGTGTGATATTTCAAAATTATTTCGATAAATATAATTATTATATCTTGAAAAAGTTAAACACGTGTTTCCCATTTTTTATATCTTTATACTAATAATATTTTACACACACACACACACACACACACGCAAAACAGCTAAAAAATAGAGGATCAGATAACAATATACGAAACGACCTTCCTTTACATTTTTTTCAACAAATTCTACAATCGCGATTATACATGTATATAAAAATGAGACCTGATTAAAAATCTGCAAATTAATTTTAAACATTTAAATGTCAAGATTTTGACGTTATGACATCATATGTGAATTTTAAAATTATCGCGATAAATATGATTATTATATCTCGAAAAACAAGTCAAATACGTGTTTCTCATTTCTTAATTAAATTGTTTATACTAATAATATGTCAATTGGAGTGCGTAATTTATATAAGCGGATAAAATTAATTCGATCATTCGGTTTCCCAGCAATTACGCTCGCGGTAACACAATTCGATCTGGCTATGACGGCATGTAACATGGCGCAATATTGCGCGATATACAGGAGGCATGTGTAGCGCGCGTGTGCGCGGGACCGGTATTACTATCGAGACTACGAATTTTTGTTATGGTGTCTCTCTCTTTCTCGGCGGACTTGCCTTCCAGGAGAGTGAGAGAGAGAGAAAGAGAGAAAAAGAAGAAGAAGAAGAAGAAGAAGAAGAAGAAGACGAAGAAGAAGAAGAATGAGAGAGAAAGAGTCGAGAGACGCTACGAGACGCGCGTTCGCCGCTTAATTGCGCAAACGCCTCGTGTTTTGCAACGCTCCGTATAATTCAACCATCCACCTGCACGACGCCGATGCTCCTCCTTTCCGTTCGCCGGAGAACGCATCGTCGAATCGATCGCATACGAGGATGATCCCTGGACAATCCTGGACGATCGCTTAATTGCTATTAATTTTTTTAACCCGCGAGCCTCGTCACACTCGGTTGCGACAAGAGGAATAATACCTTATTAACACTAATAAACTTTAATAGAGTTCCGCAGATGCCGTTAAAATATGCGACCGATTGAAAAAATCATTGATGTTTCTCTGCAAATATCTCTTTAAATGATTTTAAATATTTTAAAAATCAAGTTTTTCTGAATAAATATAAAATGTGTTTTAATTTCTTAGAGAGAATTTATATATTTTTGAATATTTTTAGGAAATTAATATTTAATATTTAATATTTTTTTAGGAAAACTATTTGTTGAGGTTTTGTTTTAAAAAAAAATGATTCTGTGAGGGAACATTATTGTAAATTATTTTTAAGGACTTTTTTCATTAAACATTTTGTTGCATACAGATAAAATATTTTTTTATGTACTTATATATTTTTTCTATCTTTGTAAGATATTTTTAGAGAAATATCACATCTTTTTATAAAATTTTATATCTTTTCTACAAATTAATTTTTGGGGGAAATTTATAAATTAATAAATTTATAAATTTATAAATTAATAAATTTATAAATTATTTTTAGGGATATTTTTTTATTAAACATTAAATTGTCGCCAACATCATCATTTTCTCGCAGAGGAAAAGACGAAGAATGAATTTGACAAAAGGAAAAAATTCTTCGGATGCATCGCGCGGTTGGCATAGTCGAAGCGGCTGGCCTTTAATGATGGACGGACCTACGTAAGTCGCAAACATCTTTCACATCTTTTACGACGCCGGGAATCTCGTCCTTTTTGCTCGGACATCCTCGAGAGAGCGACAACGTTACGCGGCTGTTATTTCACGGCTGGTTACTAAAAATTATTGCGTAAAAGACACGCTTTCAACTTTTTTTTTCTTCCTCTCGCGCTCCTCTCCTCTCCGTCGTCGTCACGGTCTCGTTCCGGGAGATGGGTCCCAAAAGGACCAAGTTTCTAGATGTGACACTTGGCTTCCGCCGCGCTTTTCTTCTCCAATTTCTATGAAAAAGAAAGAGATAGAGAGAGACTAATGATGACAATAACACCGGAAACAATCATATCGTTGGCCTCGAACGAGAGGAATCGAAGCCCCTTCTAGCACGAGGACTTTGGCAGCCAAGACGAATCGGAGTCTAGGTTGCGAGTCGAATCGAGCTCGACTTGACTCGCAACGAGCCGATCGTCGTCGGTAGCTTTCACTTTCGTTGGCCTCTCGAGAGAATTCTCTCGAGATCTCGACCGCGCCGGATTTTCGACCCCGGCTTCCCCGAGAGGATCCTATCTGCTTCGACTCGTCTCGTCCTTAGATCGAGAAGAATCGTTCTCGATTTGCGAAACTGGCCGGCAAACCGCGTCTCGCCTTCGTTTGATTTTTTTCACTCGTTCACCCTCCTCTTTTCCGATAATATTTGCGTTCCCCAAGGATACTCGAACAGATCTCTCGAAGCAGACGCGTTCAAAGCACACTCGTACGGTATAGATTCAACACAATTTCTAGTTTCGCAAGAAGAGCTTATGGAAATTGACACTTGTAGAGATGTCGAAAGATGTACAAAAAGTATTTCGTTACTTGTCTCCCTTTCTCTGTCATTTATCCTCGACAGTTGTTGACAAACGCTAATCGACAATCTGCATTCCTTAACATTTTTATATTACATTTTGCAATTATAGACAAATATAATACGAAAATGTTAAAGAATGCGAAAAAAAGGAAGCAGATTTTTGGCAATAATTTAATTCAACCATCAAAAGATCAATCCAGTTCATTAACAAGTATTTTTTCGTCACGAAATACTGGATTGATCTTTACTTGTCTCCCTTTCTCTGTTATTTATCCTTGATAGTTGTTGGAAAACGTTAATCGACAATCTGCATTCCTTAACATTTTTATATTACATTTTGCAATTGTAGACAAATATAATACGAAAATGTTAAAGAATGCGAAAAAAGGAAGCAGATTCTTTGCAATAATTTAATCCAACTATGAAAAGATCAATCCAGTTCATTAACAACAGCACACAGAAAAAAATAAGTGTCAAATCAAGACTTATATATACTTAAACTAACGCGTTCATTGTTTCGTATATACACAACAATTTATAATGTTTTTAGAAAAATCTCTTCTTGGAATAATTTTAAATTTCAACAATGTTATAGTCTTACTTAAATATTGTAATCGTCACCTCAAGAATATATAATTATTTAATTGTACTTTAAGAAAATTATAATCTTTGATTTAAAAATGTTATTTTCTATCCAACATTGTTTCTCTTCCATTCGAGAAAATTAAATCTTAAATCATAAGAATATTTTTCTTGATTGAACTACATCAAATGACTTCATTCAAGTAAACAGTTATTCGAACGATTATATTTTTCTTTAATTAATGCAATATAATATCATTTCAAGATTTCCATGTTAAAATTAAATATATTTTCAAAACAAAAATGTCCTTTTTTTCTGTGTACTTTTCGAGAATGAAATGGAAGAATCAATAATAATAAGAAAGGCTTATTTAAGATCAGGAAAATCGCAGGTGATATTGCGTGATATATAAATCTATAATTTAAAAAAAAAAACAAGCTTTTCCTTAAATAAGTCTTCCTTATTATTATTATTGATTATTTATCATTTGGACCATTTACGTATAGTGTCAATTTAATTAAAATATCTTTTTGGTCCTTTGTGAAATGGAAGAAAGGCAAAGAAAGGAATTCTACATACGGCCAAGCCCAGGGTCGTCGGCAGATCAAGGTTAACGCGATGATCGGCTGATCGAGATTGATCGCCTATATCGATCTCTTTATTCCTTGCGAGATGCGTACGTGCAAATTCGCACGTTTCCCTCGCGATCAAACGCTCATAAAATTGTTGTTTACGACCTGGAATTATTTTTCGAGCTAGAAAATTCTTAAAGAATTCCTCGATTATACCAGTCGTTCGATTTAGCGTTCGAATATTCGAATGTGACAAAAACTATGTGCTTTTATAGCGGTTACATCTCCTTTTAGGATGAAGAGTCGATATTAATTCTCGAAAAAATTGATAGAAATTGCAAAAAAGATAAGGAACGAGATTGAATTGCAAATAAAGGTCAAAGTAGTTGACTATTCAGAAATAATATAAAGAATACAATAAAAAAATATTACACAAATAAATTTGTACTAGGTCCAAAAAAATATTACAAAAAAATATTCAACGACGTGATAATGATAATAAATTGCTACTTTTATAATAAAGTTTATATCAATTTTCCTTAAAAAAAAAGTAATGCAGTATATATTTCTGTCAATTAAGATTATTTCT